CGGGGCCGGGGCCGCAGGTGTGGTCGGGACCCCAGGTGTGGGTGGGACCCTAGGAGTGGGCAGGACCCCTGGCGTTGGCGCGGGTCGGGGAGTGACCGTCTGAGCTTCGCCTGGACGGTGGGCACTGCGGAGCACAACCGCTTGGTCAGTCTGCTCCATTTGCAGGAGCTCTGGGGTATCGTAATGCCAGACGGTCTGCAGGAGCTCGGTGCCTTGGATGGGCTCCGAGACCAAGAGGGGCCCGAAAGTTTCCAGGAACTCAGGGGTCTCTGCACGGTCGTCCTCCGAGAGCTGCTCAGCGGTCTGCCACAGGTCATCAGTGAACCTCGGTTGAGGGACTCCCTGTGGAAGAAGAGGCCGGGGAATTGGGCGGGCTTCACTCCCAGCCTCCCTGCCGGGTTGGCTCCCACTGCCTGCCTGCACCTTCTGCTGGTCCTCTGCCTTCCCCTCCACTCACCGAGGTGAACATGGCCTCGTGGAGGCCGCTCCAGAGCACCAGGTCCTCAGGTTTGGGGATGGAGCAAATCTTCTTCTGGAGAGAAACCTGCAGATGGGGTCGGGGAACAGACTGTACTCCTGGTGGGTGCGATGCTCAGCGTGGCTCCCCATTCATGCTGCAGCGCACACGTCCAAAGAAACCTTTCTAGACCGATTCACCGCCTCACCCCTCCCCTGCCCCAGCACCCTGGACACTGGAGAGGGAGGCCAGGCCTCACCAGTTCCCGCTGCAGCATGGTCACCTTCTGGTTCTGCACTTTCACATCTTCACGGAGCATGTCTATTTTTTCTGGGTGCATCTGTCAAATGAGCCGGGTCTGTGGGCGGAGGTGCAGGTTCTGGTCCTAGCCCTGCTCCTTCCCTCCACTCTGGTCACTGGAACTTGAGAAGAATGGATCTGAAAGCCAGTGTTTTCCAGGGATAGAAAAGGACTCCAGGGCAAGTACACTTGGGGAATGTTAGGCATTTGAAATGGAAAGATCCCAATGTATGCTGGTAGGGAGGGTAAGTGGGTAAGTGGAGATGCCCAGTGTAAGGGGGGAGTAGATGGTGTGAGGGGTGGGATGGGTGAGGGGGCAGAGAAACAGCAGACCCAGTGTGTGAAATTCTCTGCAGAAAACAGTGTACCTGCTAGTAGCCTTGATTTGATTGTCAAATAAGTAAATACATAAATGAAAAAAATACTTCAAATAAAAGTGTTCGATAGGTTTTTGCACCGCAGAATTTCTCAGAGCACTGAATGGGCAAAAGCACATTAAAAATTGGGACCAGCAAGTGGTGTGGTGGTTAAAGGCACTGGATTCCCACATGGCTGACCATGGTTCAAGTCCTGGACCTCGTGGCTTGCTTTCTCACTTTCCCTCTCTCTCTCTGTCTGATCAAACTGAAAAAAAAAAATTAATAGTAATAAATGAAGTTAAATAAAATAAGTTAAAAAGAAAAAGAATCCCCCAGAGCTAGACCAAGGAGGCACTGTCTCTCAGACAGATCTGCCAAGGGGTCCTTTCAGTATTTCACACGCAGCTTCCTACAGGGTCTTTCTGTTCTGGTAGGAGCAGCCCAGCCTTGGACCAGAGTTCACACAGTTGCCATGGTGATTATGTGCACACAATGGCCCGTGAATCAGGGATGACACATTAAATCATGCAATTTGAGGCACAGTGTTAAAATGTCAGCCATAACACTGGCCTGGGAGCATGGGGACCTGGCTTCTGACCTGGCTCTGGCTTACCAGCTCTCGACAGGACAGTTGCTGCATGCTTCTGGTATTCTTTGTCCTCTCATGTCATGGTAGGGTGTTAGAATGTGTTTAAGTTGGGACCAGCAGTTGGCATAATGGCTATGTCACTGGACTCTCATGTAGTCGACTGCGGTTCGAGTCCCAGAGCTGGTGGCTTAAACTCATGCCGGGCGCCGGGCGCGTGTGCATGCTTGCCCAAGATCTCGAGAGGAGAATGGAGGAGAAGGGACTGTGGCATGGCCATCCCCCCTGGGGGGTGATTTCTCGCTTTCTGTGTCTCTGTCTTTCTGGTGAGCCCTTTGCCCTATAGCAAAAACCTCTCCAAAAAATAAAATAAAATAAAATAAAATAAGAATGTGTTTAAGTCCATGGCTGACGGCCACAGAAGGAGCTAGTATGAGCTGTGCTTCTCCCACAGTAGTTATCCTGGCAGGCATGTGTAATGCTCGTGCTACAACTATTCCACTTTTCAATGTAGAAAGAACTTTCTTTTCTTTTCTTTTTATGCTATAGGGTGTGTGCATTCACCCGAGAGAGAGAGAGAGAGCGCGAGCGAGTGAGCTAGGGAGACAGAAAGCGAGAAATCACCCCCTAGTGCAAGCCCGGCCTGAGTTTTAAGCCTCTGGGTCTGAGACTCAAACCATAGTCAACTACATGGGAGTCCAGTGACGTAACCATTATGCCATCTGCTGGTCCCAGACAGAGCTTTCTAGAAGAGGAAGAGATATTCTATTTCTTTTTTATTTTTATGAATTATTTATTTAATTGTATTTATTATTATTATTTTAAATTTGCTATAGGGTACGTGTGCTCACCAGAGAGAGAGAGAAAGTGAGAAAGCAAGCTGCCAGGTCCAGGACTGGAACCATGGTGAGTCGTGTGGGAGTCTAGCACCTTAACTGCCATGCCACCTGTGGGCCCCTTCTATCTCTTCTAAGTGGAATGTAAGCCTTGACTTGCTGAAACCTGGGAAGCCCTTCCTGACAATGAAGCCAACCCAGAGGAGAGGTCAATGTTGTATGAGCACCCAGCTCTTGACTGTACCTGAAGGTGTCACTAGACTTTCAGTAAATGAGGCAACAAATTCCCTCACACGATAAATTCCCTCACGTCACCCAAGCCAGGAGGAACATGCTAAGGGAGCAGCAGGCCGGCTGCAGAGAACCCGGCGGGGCACATAGGCGGCTAGGCCACGGCAGCCCCTTCTCCTGCCCTCACAGCAGCATTCTGTGACCGAGGACAGACTTCGGAGATCTCCCTGTGCCCGGCCACCAGAGGTCTGAGCAGCCCGGCTAGCATAGAAGGTGCAGGGAGGGTACCTTTTCACACAGGTCCTTCAGCATATTCACATCCTTCCTGAGCATTTCCACGGTGGTCTTGAGTGCACAGAGGTCAGTGAGCAAATCCTGCAGGGTCTTCACACACTGCAGGGCAGAGAGGAGAGAAAAGCGTGAAAGCGGGTGTGGCTAGGGGGAGCAGGCAAGTGCAGAACCTCTCTGGTGACAGCCATGGTCCAAGACGTCCCCTTGGCGCCAAGGTCTGAGATGGAAAGTACAGAGGCAGTAAGTAATACTGAAGTCAACAGCGCCTTGCTCCAAGCGCCTGGCTGGGAAAGGCGGCTGTGTGCTTGTGTGCATTCAGGAACTAGAAGTTGCTTGTCATGCCTCGGGCCCCTCCCTGTGTGATGACATGAGCTAGCTAACCACCGAGGGGGACACCCTCAGCCCGCCCTGAGCGGAAGCTACTGCAGAATCAGATGCAGAGGAGGCATGATTGGAACATTCCCAGGAACCAGACAGAGAGAGAAAGCAAAAAAGCACGGCATATGGGGGAGAACACCAAAACTCCTTTTCCTCCCAGGATTTTGGGCATACACACTCACATGTGCCAGCATGTTTTTCAAGCTGCCAGGTCTGGGACTCGAACCGCATAGTCAGTCATGTGGGATCCAGTGCCCTAACCACCATGCCACTAGCTGGCCCCAATTCACTTTTCTTTCTTCCTTCCCCCTACCCCAGGAGTTTTTGCCTTAGTGCATGTGCACTCAGGGGAGAAACAGAGACGGAGAGGGAAAGTGAAAAATCACCCCAGAGGGGAAGGCCGCATTGCAATCCCTTCTCAATTCTCCTCCCAGGATCTTAGGCATGTATGCACACATGCCCGCTGTGTGTTTCAACCCACCAGGTTCGGGACTTGAACTGCGGTCAGTCAGGCAGGAGTCCAGAGACGTAACCACGATGCCATCCACTGGCCCCCAGATTCCCGTTTTTATAGAAATCCTGACTATGTGAAGATTGGCTCTGGGAGGGCAAGAGGGGAATCCAGGAAACCTGAGGACATTTCTGGGCTGCAGAGTTGGGCTGGTAGCTCAGCTCCACCACCGACTGGGGCTGTTGTAAGTTTTTGATTCCTCAACCATAAAATGGGTGTGAGATAAAACGGTAATGAATATAAAGGGGTAGACAGGGTTAGGCCTCCAGATGGCAGCAGTGGGTTCCTTACCAATAATTACATTAAGTGTAACTGGATTCCACTTTCATAGAAAAGACGAGCAGAATGAATGAGAAAACATGATCAACTACATGCTGCCTCTACAAGACACATTTTATTTTATTTATTTATTTTTTTGAGAGGTTTTCGCTATAGGGCATGTACGCTCACCAGACAGAGACATAGAGACAGAAAGCGAGAAATCACCCCCCGGGGGGATGGTCACGCCGCAATCCCTTCTCCTCCACTCTCCTCTCGGGATCTTGGGCACGCACGCACTCGCGCCCAGCGTGAGTTTTAAGCCACCGGGTCTGGGACGCGAACCGCGGTCGACTCCGTGGGAGCCCAGCGACATAGCCATTACGCTAACTGCTGGTTCCCGACAAGACACATTTTAGACTCAAAGACACAGACAGGTTGAAAGGAGTAGGACCAGCCCATGGTAGTTAAGGCGGCTAGATCCCACATGACTGTGCAGTTCAAGTCCCAGACCCGGTGGCTTGAGAAACATACCAGATGCATGTGTGTGCAGGCCCCAAATCCTGAAGGGTGGGAGAAATGGAGAAGGGATTTAAGTGTGACCATTTCCCCCTGGGAGATGCTTTCTCTCTCTCTCTCTCTTTCTCTGTCTCCAGTGAGCACACACGCCCTCTGGCAAAATTAAAAAACAAACAAACAAAAACAGGTAAAAGAGTAGGAAAAAAATAGGGTCTGTGTGGGGAGACCTTGAGTGTGTCAGACACATACATACCCATGTCTGGGCTGGCTGAAGGTTCAAGGTAAATCGCAGTGTCCATCCTGCTGCAGTATTCTCTCTCTCCCACTCTCTCTGCCTCATTCATGGGAGAAATGAGTGAATAAGCTTAAAAAAAGAAAGAAAGGGGACCAGCAGATGGCGTAATGGTTACATTGCTGGGCTCCCACATAGTCTACTGTGATTCGAGTCCTGGACCTGGCGGCTTGAAACTTACACCCGGTGCATGTGCACGCCAAGATCCCGAGAGGAGAATGAAGGAGAAGGGGCTGTGGCACGGTCATTCCCCCGAGGAGTAAATTTTCATATTCTGTCTCTCTTTGTCTCTCCGGCAAGCGTATGCACCCTATAGCAAAAATCTCTCAAAAACAAAACAAAACAAAAACATAAAAAGAAAGAAAGAAAAAGAAAGGCTATGTATACCAAAAAAGATATGCAGTGACTATATGAATACCAGACGAAATAGATTTATAAGACCAGAGGGCAAGCGGATGCCATGGAGGTTATGGTGGCTGGATCCCACATGACTTGCCTGTGAGGTTCAAGACCCAAACCCTGTGGCTTGAAAAATACACAAAGTGCATGGGGCTAGAAGGTGGTGTGGTAGTTAGGGCACTGGACTACCACATGGCTAACCACAGTTCCAGTCCTGGACCTGGCAGCTTGACGATCATGTCGGGCATGTGTGTGTATGTGTCCAAAATCCCGAGAGGAGAATGGAGGAGAGGGGAGAAGATTGTGGCATGGCCGTTCCCAATGGGGGGTGATTTCTCACTTTCTCTCTCACTGTTTCTTGATATCTCTCTCCAGCAAGCACATGTACCCTATGGCAAAAACCTAAAAAAAAAAAAAACACACACACACACACACACAAAGAGTGTGTGTATGCACACCCAAAATATTGAGAGGAGAATGGAGGGAAGGGAGTGCGGCATGGCCATCCCCCAGGGTGCTTTTTCACTTTCTTTCTCTGTTGCTCTCGAGTGCATATGCCCTACAGCAAAAGTTAAAAGAAAGAGAGAGAGAGACCAGAGACACAGACAGATACCTATATAGTAATGGGGGTCAATCCATCAGGAAAATACAATAATTACACACAGATGCACTTAACAAGGAAAAGGTGAAGGGAGAAATAGACAATTCAACAATAAGAGTTGGAGACATTAATACTCCATTTTTTAAAAATAATTTTTGAAATAATTACTTTATGCCAGGACCAGCAGTTGGCGTAATGGTTATGTCGCTGGACTCCCAAATAGTTGACCACAGTTCGAGTCCTGGACCCGGTGGCTTAAACTCATGGTGGGCGCGTGTGCATGTGTGCCCAAGATCCTGAGAGGAGAATGGAGGAGAAAGGATTGAGACATGGCCATATTTCCTGGGGGGTGATTTCTCGCTATCTGTCTCTGTTTCTGTCTTTCTGGTGAGCGCATGCACGCTATAGCAAAAAATAAATAAATAAATAAAGCTTAAAATAAAAGACTTTATGTAACTATTTATTTATTTATTTTATTTTTTCTTATTTTAGAGAGGTTTTTGCTATAGGGCGCGTGCGCTCGCCAGACCAACAGAGAGAGACGGAGAGACAGAAAGCAGGAAATCACCCCCCAGGGGGGATGGCCACGCCGCAATCCCTTCTCTTCCATTCTCCTCTCAGGATCTTGGGCACGCACGCACACCCCGGCGTGAGTTTAAGCCACCAGGTCCGGGACTTGAACCGCGGTCGACTACGTGGGAGTCCAGCGACATAGCCATTACTCTAAATGCTGGTCCCACTATTTATTTATTTATTTATTTTAATTTGACCAGAGAGGGACAGTGTGAGAGAGAGGGAAAGTGATAAAGTAAGCCGCCAGGTCTGGGACTCGAACTACAGTCAGCCATGTGGGAGTCCAGCACTCTTAACTACCATGCCACCTGCCTGTGGCATACTCCATTTTCAATGGTAAATAGAATAAGTAGACAGAAGATCAACAAGGAAACAGAAGACTTGACAACACTATAAACCAACTAGGCATAACATAATTATAAAACACTCCACTCAACAAAATATGCTTTTTAAAAAAACTATTATTTTATTTAACTTTATTATTACTATTTTCTAGTTTGATCAGAGAGAGACAGATAAAGAGAGGGAAAGTGAGAAAGCAAGCCACCAGGTCCAGGACTTTTACCGCAGTCGGCCATGTGGGAGTCCAGCACTTTTACCACCATACCACCTGCCAGCTCCAAACTATGCTCTTTTCAAGCACACACAGAACCTTTCCAGGGTAGACCAGAAGGTAGGCTATAAAATAAGCTTCAATAAATTAGAAAAGAATGGAAGTTAGGGAACCAGCAGTTAGCGTAATGGCTATGTCGCTGGACTCCCACGTAGTCGACTGCGTTTCGCATCCCGGACCCGGTGGCTTAAAACTCAGGCCAGGCGCGTATACGTGCATGCCCAAGATCCTGAGAGGAGAATGGAGGAGAAGGGATTGCGGCGTGACCATCCCCCCTGGGGGGTGATTTCTCGCTTTCTGTCTCTATGTCTCTCTCTGTCTGGCGAGCGCATGCACTCGTACCTCTTAAGCCAAAAACTCCCCAAAAAAAAAAAAAAAAAAAGAATGGAAGTTATACAAAATATGTACTTTCACCATAATGGAATAAGTTAGAAATCCAGAAGAAGCTATGAAAAACTCACAAACTTGTGAAGATTAAAAAAATTCTCCCAGGGGACCAGCAGGTGGCGTTGTGGTTAAGGTGCTGGACACTCCCACATGGCCGACCACAGTTGGAGTCCCGGACCTGGCGGCTTCCTTTCTCCCTTTCTCTCTCTCTCTCTCTCTCTGTGTGTCTCTCTCTGGTCAAATTAAAATAAATGAATGAATAAATAAAATTAAATAAATAATAATTTTTAAAAATTCTCCCAAATAACAAATAAGTCAATGAAGAAATCACAAAGAAAATTAGAAAACAGTTTGAGATGAATTAAAATGAAATCACAACACAGCAAAATTTATGGATACAGCTAAAGCAGTGCTTATAGAAAAATTTATGTCTACAGGGACCATATTAATAAAAAAAATTCTCAAATCAATAGTCTCATTCACCACCTTAAGAACAAAGAACAGGTGGGGTTGGCAGGTGGCATGGTGCTTGAGGACACTGGACTCTCACGTGACCAAATGTGGTTCAGGT